GGTGCTCTCAGCTGACACCCCAGAAGACGAGCAGGGACTGAGCCCATGAACCAGGGGGGTCTGAGCCCAGCTACTGTCTCACAGCCACGACGGGAGAAGTCAGAGCCCCTCTGCAGCAAGGGCTAGGCAGGGCTTCCACACTCCCCTGGCATCCTTCCCCCCCACGCTGGCAGTGCCCCCCATCCGCCCCAGCACAGGTCCCACTACAGCTCAGCGAAGACTGGGCGCCGTGCCCCCAGCCCAGCACCCCTCTCTAGCTCCATGCAGCACTTCTGGGGTGTGCACACGGGATCAGGATCCAGGCCTCCTGCCCCAGCCGGCAGCAGCTGCTAACTCCCTCGTGGTCAGGGGCAGGTTTGGCTTTGCCGGAGCCAAGGGTCTCATCCAAGCATGGGGGATGGACTCGTGTCGGTGTCCTTTCACATTCGTGCCCCAGTTCCCCCTGCCCCCCGCACCTCCCCCAAGAGCTGCAGAGTCTCTGCACTTCTGGGGCCGGACCCTGCGACAGCTGTAGGTACGCTGCACTTTGCTTCATGCCTGCAGCCTGGGCTGCTCGTGAGGGCTAGGGCTGCTCATTTCCCACGTGACGCGAATGAAGACCTGGGGACAGGTTTACAGGGTGCAAGAGGGAGAACAAGGCTGTGTAGTCACAGAAGCCAGGATGAAAGCAGGGGCATAGGCCAGAGGACCCCAGTGGTGCTCAGGCCTGGCTGGACTCTGCCGCTGCTGGCGCTGCCGGCAGAAACCCCGGTGTATTGTGCAGGTCCCTTTGGACCCGATGCACGGTCCCTTGCAGAGGCACAATTGCAGTGCGCCGGCAGTGGGACCCTGCCCTCCCTCTTGTCCCCCCACAAGATCCTGCATATCAGTGCTGGGAAGAACACGTACAAGCAGAGCGGGTCTCCTAGCCGCCTCCCGGGCCCTGCCAGATACATCCCACCCCGAGCAGCCCCCTACCCATTCCCCCCACCCCTGTTCCCAGCAAAAGCCTCCTCCTGGGCCAGAAGACTGGCTCCTTCCGCCTCTCCCACCCCCTCGCGGTGCCTTCACCTGCCGGGGCCACGCGGTCGGTCCCCAGGGAGAACTGCGGGATCACATCAGCTGCATTTTGGACAGCTGCAGCTGGCGGCGCGGCTGCCTGCGAACTGAAACGCTGAGGTACGTGTGTGCGCGTGTGTATGCATGTGTGTGAGTGTGCAAGTGTGTATGCACGTGCACGCACGTGTGGGTGTGTGCATATGTATGTGTGTGCACGCGTGTGTGAGCAGCACACGCCCCCTGGATCTCTGCTGCCAGGCAATCGCCCCTGCAGCCCAGCACCCTCCGAAGGCATCAAGCATTTCACTGCCATGCCCTGGGCGACGACATTCGCCTGCTGCCCACGTCCTGCTGATACAGCAAGTTCGGGCAGCAGAGGGCACGTGCTGGCAGCCAGGTCCCAAGGAAAAGACAGGCCCCAGGGCACCGGGAGACTCCCAGGCCATGGCCGAGGCAGAGGCAGCAGCTAGAGCAGGGAGCTCCCACGCTCAAGCAGCACACGGGGGTGGAACAGCCCTGTTTCTGGTCCGGACGGCGGCCCACGGGTGCAGGGCAGTCGAGCTCCCTAGGCAGACATGGTCTGGTCAGCCCACAGGAAGGGGAGGGTGCTGGAAGGTGCTTTCCCATCCACCGCCACTCCCATGGGGTCCTGCCGCAGCCTGGGGCGGGGGTAAGAGCAAGCAGAGCACCCAGTCCGCTGGGACAAAGAGGATGTCTGCCCTTGCTGCAGTCTGAGCCTGGCTCCTGGGATGTGAGCCAGACCCACAGCCCACTACTGCATGACCTTGAGAGGGGGGCGGCTAGCGGGGCCCCCAGGACAAGGGGCCTTGGAGTTCCCACCCCACCCAGGACAGGTCCTGCAACCCCTGGTTTGTGTCTCAGAGTCTCTGCCGCGCTGCACTAGGGTGATGACCCCAGCGATGAGCTTGTGGCCGTGGCCCAGACTCAGCCACCCAGGACGGGGGCTGTGGATGCTAAACCCCGGTTCTCACAGGGGCAGGGAAGAAGCAGGACTCTGGGCTGGATCCCCAGGGAGCATGTCCAGGGCTGGTTCCCCTGGGCAAGGGCGCTGTGGGGAGTGTCCATGTGCTGGTCACGAAGTGCAGGGCAGGGGAGAGGATGTTCTGCTCTCCCGTCTGCAGCAGCCTCCAGGCCACCCAGCTGCATCTGGCCACTGGGTAGCTGAAGCACAGGATGCACACGTGCATGTACGTGTGTCCATGCAGGGGGGTTGTGTGTGCTCACGTGCATGTGTGTGCTCCCGTGTATGTGTGTGCTCACAGTGTATGTGTGTGTGCGCACATGAGCAGTGTGTGTATGTGCATGCATATATGCAGGTATTCATTTGTCTGTGTGTGTGCATGTGTGCAGCGTGTGTGCGTATATGCATGTATGTGTACATGCTTACGTGTGCATGCTCACATGCATCTGTGCGCCTCTGTGCATGAGCATGCATATGCACCCACGTGTGTACGTGCATACTCATGTGTATGTGTGTACAAGCATGCATACATGTGTACGTGCTCATGTGCACATGCTCTTCTGTGTGTGTGCCTGTGTGCATGATTATGCACATGCACGCACGCACACACGTGTGTGTGTGCACGTACACGTGTGCTCATGCATGTGTGTATATATTCACATGCCCACACGCCTGGGCTCATGCCTTTGTGGTCCCGTGCATGCGTGTACCTGTATATGCGTGTATACATGCTCTCGGCTATGCGTGTACACACACAGGCATATAGGCGTGCTCACGTGTCTAGGCATGCCTGTGCGTGTGCTCACAGTCACGTGCCTGTGTGGGTGCACACCTGCGTGCGCGTGTGGCTTTGAGCCTGGCTCAGGCATGAGTGACAGCAGCAGCGGGTCTCGCAGCTGGAAGGGGCAGGGGCTGCGCTCCCAGCTCAGCTGTGCCGCCATCTGCACCAGCGCTGACACCCCCCTTGCAGCTCCACTTAACTCTTTCTGCGCCAGCACGCCTGGCAAGGGCCATCCGGCTGCCCTGGAGAGGCACAAGCTGCAGGCTGAGCTCTCCGTGCTCCCCACCAAGGAAACAAGCTGAGGCCTTGGAAAGCTCCTGGCAGGGGAAGCAGGCTGGGCAGAGGCTGCCGCATTTCCAGAGGGACATGAAGGCTGCGGCACAGTTCTGCATGAGAACGGGAGGGAAACCCAAGGAGGAGAAAGGCTGAGCCAGCAGCGAAGGCCTGGGGAGACTCAAGTTTGAGTCCTTGCCCTGCCACGGCCCCCCCGCACCCAGGCAAGGCTTTAGCCTTACTGCACTTCAGCCTTCTCTGTGAAATGGGAACAAGAGCACGCGCTCCTCCGCTGGGGGGTGACCGAGGGCTCAGATGTGATGGGATGAGAGGGGCATATAAATGACCTGACCCCCGAGGCCTGGAAACCCTGCCTTCGTGCTAGCAATGACATGTGTGGGACCGGGGCCGTTAGCTGCAATGCTAGGTGAGCTGCAAGACTTGGTGCTCCAGGGCTCTGTGCTGTGCATGCCCCAGCTACACATGGAGCCAAGGGGCCGGGACCTGGAGCTCCACCGTCTCCCAGCTCTGAGACACGGTGCAGGTCACGAGCACCCTGCAGGGCACCGCGCCTCTAGCAGCACCTCCTGCCCAGGTGGCCTGTGCAGCTGGGTCTCTCTGGGGGCAGGGAGTCCCCTTCCCTCAGCCTCAGAGATGCATGCAGCTTTCATAAGAACTGCCATGGACTGGGTCAGATCCATGGGTCCATCCTGCCCCATTGCCTGTGTCACCTGGGGGCAGAGCGCGGAGGCTGAAGGGAAAAGGACCTGGGTCTCTTTTTTCCCCCACTCTTCCGCTGGAGCAGAGGAGGGGGCAGCCTTAGGAAAGGGTCCATGGAGGATGCCTTGTGCCCTAAACAAGTGATGTGGCCACTGCAGGTGCCACTGCAGGTGCAGGGGTAGGGATGTAGAGAGCAAGGGGCAGAGTGCAAAGGGCCCCAGTGGGAAGGACTGGCAGGCAGCACGGGGCTGCCGAGGGATGCCAGGAGAGCAAGCCACAGAGAAGGCAAGACGCTGGTCCAGGGGCAAGCTGGGCTGAGCAGGCGGGAGACGGGCAATGTGGGCATGAGGGAGGGAGTCCAACAGGGAAAAGGCAGGAGCCAGCGGGGATGGGAGCCCAGGGGAGGGGGAATGATGGTGGCGGCAGCTGGGAGCACTGCAGGGGAGAAGCGTAAAGAAATGCTACGAGTCCTGGGGGGAAAGGAGTCCCTGCAACGGTGGGAATTCTCTCCACGGGTGCCGTACCGGGGGCCGTTCGGGAACAGAAGCCCCTGTCACATGTACCCAGCAGCAGAGCTGGCAGGCGGCACCCGCACACAGAGCAGGGGTGGGGAGGGTCTAACGCCCGGCCCTGCCTCTCATCACTTAAACCCGCAGCTTTTCCGGGGGCCTGGCTGCATCCCGGATCCCAGCAGACTTTGCAAGCCCTGGATGCCCGGGGAGTTCAGTCCACCCCCACAGGTGGATTTCCAAGGGGCGAAAACCAGGCAGCAGCGGAACTGGGCATGTCGGACACTCGGCGACAGCATCTCCCAGCTTGGAGGGGCCCCGTTTTGGAAACGGGCATGGGCTTGTATTCACTGTTGGAAATTCCCAGAGAATCAGGGACCCCCCCCATATACCTCAGCCACGGCTCCACTCCCCCCTGCGCATTTCCAAGCCTGGGATATGACTTCTCCCCCCATGTCCCTTATAGGCCAGGGGCTCAGTTCTCCCAGCAAGGACATGCCCCTTCTGCCAGCCTGACGTGGAGCGAGTGCCGTCGGGCTCAGCATGCAGGGCTTGGGAGAAAAGAGGCAGCCTCTAGCTCCAAAGCAGAGGATGCATTTTAAAGCTGCAGTTTAAAGCTTCTCCACCCCCAGTGCATAAGATGCATCCCGCGATCGTGCCTTCCAGCCCACCACAGCCTCCCCCGGCCCCACCTTACCTCTCCGTCTCCTCCTTCACCGGCGCGTACTGCGTGGCCTGGCGGCTTGGGCGGACCTGCTCCGGGGGCTTCTCGCTGCCCTCCAGCTCCTGCTCCAGAGACGAGCTGGTGCTGCCTTCCCGGCTGACATTGCTGCTGCGGCCCGGGCTGTTCTCGGTGGAGGCCCGCGGCGACTCCGTGTTCTGCTTCAGGGTCTGCAGCTTGGCCAGCGGGATGATGTCGCAGTTCTGCGGACGATGCCACACGGTGCGCTGCGTGGTGGCATTGTAGTAGTAGAAGCGCGAGGTGTTGGGGTCAAAGAGCTCCCACCACTGGTTCTCGTTGGTGCGCTTGATGCGCACGCCGGCGGGCGGGTCCCACACGCACTCCCCCGTGATGAGGTTGGCGTACATGCGCTCCCGCGTGCGAGGCTCTATGATTTCCACCCATTCCAGCCTGCAGGACGAGAACACACACAGACAGGGCTCGTGAGAAGCCGGCGGGCGCAAGGGGAGGGCAAAGAGCTGCTGGGAAGGGGGGAGAGGAAACCAGGAGCAGGGATCGGGAGAAGCCGGCCTCCACCCTCGGCCCAGTGCAACGGGGAGCTGCTCCGTCGGGTCGTGGGCATTTAGCAAGGGCACTAACCAGAAACGAGGGGGCAGGCAGCATCGGATGGCCTTTGTGCTGCTTTCCCAGCTGCCAGCGGCACATCTTTTCTTTAGATCCTAGGCTGTCCAGGGCAGAGACCCACTGGAAAGCACGGTCACACAGCTGCGGGGCTGGCAGGGAGCCGTGGGCTCGCATCGAGTCCAACCCCTGCCTGAGACAGGATCAGCCCCATGCAAACCAGCCCAGGCAAACCCCGTGTCCGACCTCAGAGCCACACGACACAGCCCCAGGCGTCGCCCCAGAACCTGCCCCCAGGAAAGCCGGGGGGCCACCGACCTGCAAAGGTTGGTAATAGGGGTATCGGTGTAGCCGTGTCGGTCTAAGGACGCTGGCAGGCAAGGTTCTTTGTGTAAATCCGAGATCTTTTATTAGACCAACTAAAATAGTTGGACAAGAAGAATTTTTCCAACTATTTTAGTTGGTCTAATAAAAGATACTGGATTTACCCAAAGAAAGTTGTTCATATACACTTGAGAGACCGTGCCCCCATTACAGAGGAAGGCAAAACCCCCCCTAGTCTGGACCAGTCTGAGTGGGGGGGAAATCCCTTCCTGCCCCAGTGTAGCATCAGTCTGAGCCTGAGCGCGGGGGCAAGACCCTCCAGCCAGGACCCTGCGGGGTTGGTGCCAGCAGGAGCATTGGCACAGCCCAGCCCCATCCCCAGCCTGGGCTGCAGCACCCAGCACCTCTGGGGGAGGCTTAAAAACACCCTGAGCAATGAAGAAGCGCCCTGAAGAACGCTCCTTGTCCCAAAAGCTACCAGCCCTTGCTGGGAACAACTGACCAATGCCGAGGAGTGCCGGCACGGAGAAGTTGGAAACAGCACACACACAACCGCAGCTGCCAGCGATGCCCGACCGTGCCAGGACACCAGATCTAGTCTGGGGGAACAGCAGAGGAAACCCCTTGTAGGGGCATCTCGCTTAATAGCTCTGCAAATGCACCCTCCAGCGCCCGCTTGGCCCCTTGACCCCTGCTCTGGACTGTGAGGACCCAGTCTGGGCTCCCAGGGCAGCTCTGGGAATGCCCACGCTCCATGTCGGCTCCCGCCCCGCCATCATCACCGCAGCTACAGGGAACGGGTGCATCCATCCTCCCATGTCCTTCTGCAGCGACTCCAGGTGCAGAGAACCTGGCGCTCCCCGGGCCAGTCTCCACCGTGCAGGGACTGCACATATGGAGGGGCTTGGCACAGCCAGCCTTCCTCTACTGCAGCTCTTCAGTGTGGGGCGTGCGACTCCTGACCTAGCACAGACCCCAGTATAGCAGGAAAGGGACCATCAGAACAGGAGTGGGGAAAACCCCCCTCCAAAGACCTAATACCATATTATCCAGCATGCAACACAGGCTGTTCCCCAAAAACCAGCTGCTGGGAGTTGGGGTGCACATGATACATGAGGAAATACGGTAACAGCACTTTCTGCAGCTAAACCCAAGTAACTCCGCATGCGACCCACGGAGCAAGCTCAGCCCCTCGCTACCGCTGATCCGTTACTTACTGCAAAGAAAGATCTTTTTTTGCCCCACATTTGGCCTCTCAAAAAACCAAGGTGTGGATCTTATTCTGCAGCATGCAAGAAAATACAGTATTTATGCAGTGCTAATTCCCTCCCCCCGCCCGGGAAATGTGATCCCCAGGGCCAGGATCCTATTCCACTGATTAGGCTCCTATGTCGCCTTAGTGCAATCCTATTCCCTTCTGTTGAAGTCTCTGGAAATCCATTAGTGCATCGCTGACGGCCACGTGCTCTCGGCCTCACGAATAAGTCACAGCGAGGAGGAGAGGACCCACCCTCAGCTTGCGCGCTGGCAGTTGTCTGAGCGCCGCGTGCGGGCCCTGAATAGATGGCACAGGACGAGGTCCCTGCCGTTTCCACCCGAGAACTA